ATGAAGGTACGGAAGGGTTTGTTATATACAGCGACGCATCCAAGTGAGGATTGGGATGTATACTAATGTAGAATGGAAAAGTGATAGCCTATGCTTCAAGATAATTGAAGAAACATGAGCAGAACTACCCAAGTGGTTACCACACCAGGACAAGTCACTGCTCGTCTAGCAGCTTTAATAATTCGACCTACTTTTAGAGATCGAATTATAGAAGCACAAAATAAAGACTCATTTTTGCAAAAGATTAAGAATGAAGTTGGTACCGATAAGAAAAAAGACTTTGGAGTAGTTGAGGATCAAGCACTGATATTTAGAGGAAGAATTTACATGCCTAAGGATGAAGCCTTGAGAAACGAGATATTGAAAGAAGCTCATTCCACCCCGTACACTGCACATCCCGGTGGTACGAAAATGTATCGAGATCTTCGAGATACATTTTGGTGGAGAAATATGAAAAGAAGTATAGGGCTGTACGTGCAGAAGTGTATGATAAGGCAAAACACCAAAAACCAACTGGATTGTTAAATCCACTAGATATACCTAAATGGAAATGGGAAAATATCACGAGAGACTTTGTGGTTGGATTCCCGAAGTCAGCAAGAGGAAATAATGCTATATGGGTAGTAGTAGATCAACTAACGAAGTCAGCTCATTTTCTTCCAGTGAAAATGACATTCAGTTTAGACCAATTGGCACAGTTGTACATTAAAGAGGTTGTGAGATTACACGGTATACCTGTATCCATTGTGTCTGACAGAGACCCAAGATTCACGTCCAAATTTTGGAAAAGTCTACAAGGAACTATAGGAACGAAGCTGAACTTTAGTACATCATATCACCCTCAGTCCGATGGTCAGTCTGAAAGGACCATCCAAATTTTAGAAGACATGCTGAGAACATGTGTTTTGGATCTAGGAGGTAATTGGGAGTCATACTTACCTCTAGTAGAGTTCGCTTATAATAACAGTTTCCAAGCAACTATTGGAATGACACCATACGAAGCTCTCTATGGTGGAAGATGTAGATCCCTTGTTCATTGGGATGAAGTCGGAGAGAAGAGAGTTTTGGGATCAGAAATAGTTGAAAGGACGGTCGAGGTAATCGATAAGATCCGTACAAGAATAAAGGCAGCACGGGATCGACAAAAGAGCTATGCAGATACAAGGAGGAAGGATTTAGATTTCCAAGTTGGGGATAAAGTGTTTCTGAAAGTAGCACCAATGAAAGGTGTATTTAGATTTGGAAAGAAAGGCAAGCTATGACCTCGGTATATCGGACCTTTCGAGATACTTGATAGAGTCGAAAATGTGGCTTACCGACTAGCTTTACCACCTGAATTATCGGCAGTGCACAATGTGTTTCATATATCGATGATAAAGAAGTATGTACATGATCCTAATCATGTAGTGAATTATCAAACCTTGGAGGTACAGAAAGATTTGTCGTACGAGGAACTACCGATCAAGATATTGGATCGAAAAGTGCATGAACTAAGGAATAAAGAGATTCAGTTGGTTAAGATACAGTGGAGTCATCACGGCGTAGAAGAAGTCACTTGGGAAAAAGAAGAAGAAGCCAAAGACAAGTATCCAACACTATTCGCCCAATCAGAAGGTAAATTTCGAGTACGAAATTTTAATTAAGGTGTGGGGGATGTAGAACCCCAAATAATTCTAGACACCTTAGTGGCACTAAGACATGAATATTGGATGACTAAAGTATACTTCAGATTTTTAATCTCATTTGAGACCCATTTTCGACATAGGAAACATTCGATTTGGAAAATGATATCTAAATAAAAGTTGTATCTCTTTGAGTTAGCTTTCCAACGCACTTTGAATTACCTCAATCGGATATCAGGAGAAGAAGTTATGATAGAAACACTGAAGGCTGTGCAGTGTCAATCGGACTACAACCGGTCGACCAAAGCTGCCTGAAATGAAAATTCTCATTTTTCTCTAGAATTTAAATATTTATTTTCATCAATTATTTTCTTAAAGGGCCACCCACGTTTTTGGCAATAAAAACCCCACTAAATTGAAGTATTTAACCTCAAACTTAAATGGCACCCATGTTTTCTTACTTAAATGAAATTTGACCATTCATTTGCTTTAAGTTATGGGATATTTACCTATAAATAGAGACCTCATTTCACTCATTTTTCTCACACCAAAAGCAAGAGCTTTTACATACTAAAGAAAGTTTTCAAGAGAGAAAAAGAGAGGGAGGAAAACTATTTTTCCTATAAGTTTAAGAAGTGTTTTCAAGCATCAATTCTCAACAGTATTCAAACATCCAAGGAGTGCATTTCTTTCAATGTTCAAGTTTCATCGAAGTTTTCAATCCAAGTTTTCAAAGTTTCAAAAGCATCAATCAATGTAGGTAGAAGTGCAATGTGTTTAATCGTGTTAAGTTATAAGTTTCGATTTATGTTAATGTTTATATGTCAAATGGTACTCCGGTACCGCATATCCCTCTATGTTAATGGTTGTATGTTAAATGGTACTCCGGTACGGCATACCCCTCTATGTTGAAGAAATGTTCGTATGTCAAATGGTGCCCTCGGGAACGGCATACCCTTTCATGTCAAATGGTGCCTTCGGGTACGACATGTATGAAAAGTTGTAAAGTTAATGTTTTAAAATGTATAGCTTGATCACGAATGCACCTATGACACCTATTGAGTTTTTCAACTCACGGGTTTAATCCCATCTCTACAGATTGAAGGAACTCTACCTCGGGCATGGATGGAGGAGAAGATGGACAGTGATGCAACGAGCCCATGAAAATCCGGTGAATAAGTGATTTGAATTTCTTTTTATGAAATGTTTTCCAATGTTATTTCTTTAAAGTTTTGAATAATGCAGAATGCGAGAACAAGTTATGTTTTCTTCAAATAAATTACATTTTGTTGTTTTGAAAAATGATTCAGTGTTTTTGTTTAAAGTATTCGAAGTATTGTTATTTAAATTATTATCTGAAGATGTAAGCTTCCGCTAAAACGTATACACTTGTTACTAAACCACCGGTTAAGCTAAATAAAGTAAGTAGCGTTCCGGTCCACTAGAGGTCGGGGCGTTACAAAAAGCTTTGTGTCCCGGTGACAATTTTTTGTATGAAAGAGTTGCTTCAAGTGGAGAATAAGGGACCTTCTGCACTTTGAATTTTTGAAGTTGGGTGGATAAGTTGGCCTGTTGACATACAAAGTTCTATAAATATGTAGGAGTTTTTCTAACTCTAGTGGACCGTCTGGGAAGTGAGGACTTGTAGTATTGGATGGTGAGGTTGTTTTTCTAGATCATTCAAAAGATTCTCTTGGCCTAATTCTAACTCATTTATGAGGCTTGTGTGACTTGGTTTTCCTGCTGATGAACTTTCACTGATTGGTGATAGACTTTGAGCATTTAATGGTATACTGCTGTTGTTGTAAAGTTGGTCAAATTTTGAAATTTGAGGATCAAGAAACTGAGGCTGATTTGTGGTTGGTGTTAGAACAAAGGAAAAATTGGGAGGATCAGATATGGAACTAGTGCTGGACAAATTACTGCCTTTGCAAGAGAAGATGTTTTCATAGAGTGTTACATTTCTTGAGACAAAAGTCTTTTTAGTCTCCAAGTTAAGCAAATTATAGCCTTTCATACTAAAGGGGTATCCCAAAAATATGAATTTTCTGGCTCTTGGATCAAATTTATACCTATTTTGAGTTAAGGTTGTGGCACAGGCTAAACACCCAAAAACCTTAAGATGGGAATAATTCGATTTTGTGTTGAGAAGAAGTTTAAAAGGTGTTTTGTAGTTTATGAGCAGTGATGGAGTTCTGTTTATGAGGTAAACCGTAGTCAAGACACAATCATTCCAATATTTCATAAAGATCCCATTTTGAAATCTCAAAGCTTTTGCTACATTAAGGATATGCTGGTGTTTTCTTTCTACAAAGAATTTTGTTGTGGAGGTTCCACACAAGAGGTTTGATGCACAATTCCTTTCTCAAGGTAAAAGTTTTTCGTGTTAAATTCACCTCTATTATCAGTTCTAATTGTTTTGATTTTGGTCCCATATTGATTTTCAATCATATTACAAAATCCTTACAAAGCATCACTGGCATCAAATTTGTATTTCAAAGTATAAACCCAGGTACATTTGCTGTAATCTTCTACTATGGTCAAAAAATATCTTGAACCATCATAAGCTACCTCATTACATGGTCCCCAAATATCGGAATGGACTAAATCAAAACGTTTTTCTAATTTATGTTGACTAATAGGGAAAGGAAGCTTGTGCATTTTGGCTAAGGGGCAAATCATGCAAGGCTGGGTACTTTGTGTGTATGTGGGAATCTGGTGACTATCTAGAAAGCTAAGAGTAGTGTATGAAGGGTGTCCTAATCTATAGTGCAAGAGATCAAATTCTTCAACTTGAATGATAGCTGCTACGGTAGTTTTGATGTTGTTTAAGGTGTCAATGAAAGCTGAAGGTGAAAAATTTGTTTGTTACAGATGATACAAGCCATGTCTCACCTCACTCATTCCAATCGTTCTCCAAGTCAAAAGGTTTTGGAAAAAACAGTTTTGAGATAGAAAAATCAGACAACAGATTAAAGTAATGGCTAGCTTTCTAGCTGAAATCAGGTTGAAGGAAAAAGTTCGAACACATAGTACATCATGTAGATTAAATTGTTTGAAATTCTTACTGTGCCTATGTGTGTAACAGCAACATTGTTGCCATTATGGAGTGTAATAGTGCGGGACACTTGTTATGTGATGCTAGTTTACAGGGAGGCTTCACAAATCATATGATCCATGGTACCTGAGTCTATAATCTAAGGAGTGTCTATTGGAGTTTTGGCTTTTGATGCATAAATAGATAGGCACAGAGATATACCAGAAATAGAAGGCATTTGAGCCTCAGTGGTGTAAGGTGTAATGGTAGAGTGAACGTGATTTGCCAAATGTGTTGGTGGCGAGATATTTTGCTTGTTGAGAAGAGCCACAAGCTGAGCTTACTGTTCCTATGTAATAGGAGACTGAGCATTGCTAGAAACCTCAGTATGCACTTTCTCTTGGACAGGTATATTGGTGACCTGATTAGCAGAGGAACTAGGGGATTTGTTCTTATTGTACAATTTGTGCGCCAAGGGGTATCCATAGATTTTGTAGCACTTCTCTATGTTGTGGCCAAGAAGGTTCAATAAGTGCATATCGATTTGCTGGGATTGGCTTTAAGACACCTTTCAAATGAATGACCTGCAATTTTACAATGAGTGCAAAAGTATTTAGTGTTTCTTCGAGTAGTGTGTTGAATCCCCTTTCGAGCTCTCCTAACAATCATTGCCACAGATTCATTTGCAGAATAATCCAATGATATTTGTCTCCTCTTTTCCTCTTGCTGTATAATAGAATAGACTTCGTTAAGTTCAGGAAATGGCTTATTAAGCAGGATCTGAGCCTTGATATCCTTATAGGATTCATTGAGGTCCATGAGGAACCTCAGAACCAGTCCCTGTGCCGGTTGTCAACAATAGTGCGAAGTCCTCCACATGTGCAATTGGGTATTGGTTCGTAATTCATTAACTCGTCGAGAAGTGTCTTATATTTTGAAAAATAGACACACACAACATCTTGGTTCTGCATTAAAATGTAGATGGCCTGCTTTATTTCATAAACTCGTGGAGCATTTTGTTGAGCTAATCGATGCTCAAGTTCCAGCCAAAGTTGTCTAGTAGTATCTGCATAAAGTGTGCAAGATTTTACCTCAAAAGACATGATATTCTGGTGCCAAGCGATCACGAGTTCATTACAACGAAGCCAGTGCTCCATTAGAAAGCTATTGGGGTCTGTAGGTTTAGCCAAAGTTTCATCAATGAATCCAAATTAGTTTTTGATCCTGAGAGCCCTTTTTATAAACCTTGCCCAGGCATAGTAGTTGGTGTTGTCTAATATGTGGGTGACCAGTATTGTACCTGAACTATCATTCCCAACAATATAATATGGACTGTATGGATGAGTAGGATCATTAGGAATTTGCTGAGAATTTTCATTAGGAGTCTGATGAACAGATTGGGTCAGGATTTTCGGGTACAGCAAACTGGGTGTCTGTGCTTTGATTATCAGCCATATCTACCATGGCTCTAATACCACAACATAAAATGAAGAAAAAGAAATATGCAGAGAAAAATGACGAAATGTAGAATTCCTTCTTGTATCTTTTATATAATGAATCAATATTTAAAGGTATATATAGAAATGTGACTACTATATGATTATAAAAGAATTGGAGAGAGAGATCTGTTAGCATCGGAATATTCCACACACAAGTGGCTATATCTTTCTTCTTCTAGAATGCTTCCTCAGGCTGTTTACATGGCTTGTCCATGTCTGCTCATCCATGCGGCAATTCATTTTTCAACACTACTAAGCCCCTATTTGATAGGAATTAAAATCAGATTTTTATAGAAATTGATGAAATGAGATTGAAAAGCTTTGGGCCTTGTGAAATATATGGTTAAAATTCATTATTGAGTTGGGCTTACATTAAAATTTAGATTTTAATCCATACCTAACAAAGGCTAAGATTTCTGGACACCGATGGAATCCATCATGGATTTGAATTGACTGCATTTGTGGTGTTATATGTTTGATACAATGGTAGATTGGGTACAAGTGTTTTGGCTAATGCTTCCTTTGATTTGTTGATACAGAAGATTAGATAACCGCAAACACAGAAGAAAGAGAAGTCAAATATAAAAGTGCAATAAAAATGAAGAAACTAAAGATATGTAATCCTCCAAAGCATTCAACTTTCTTTCACAACCACGTAAACTTGTATTCAGTACTGCAGAAACTGTCCACAAACAAAATACCGTCCAGCATAAAAAGGTTTCCGAGACATGCAACCTCATAAGGGTTGAAAACTGACAAAAAAGGTCTGCAAGTTTTACTGAGACAACTATAAAACCCCCTCATCAGCAGCTAAAATGCCAATCATGTAATTCAGATACAAAAATACAGCACCCGAACAAAATGCACTTCCAGAAATGCCTCGAGTGTGAATGAACTGTTAATCATCCTGGGGTTTTTGGTCTTCTCCATCTACTGGAATCATAGGTCCCTCTTCTTCCTCTCCATGATTCGAACTTGGTCCATTAGCGAGTTCTTCAGTACCCTGATGTTGCCCTGGTGATCTTCCCGACATCTGCTTATCGTTGCCATCATGAGATCTTCCAAAAGTTTCCTTTCTGTTACCAGCAGATGGGGATCGTGATCTCTCCCGATGACTATGCGGAACAGATGTTCGAGCCTGTTCCATCATCATTTCATGGAAACTGCGATGGGTAGGGGCAATTGTATCAAACCTCTCCGCGCTACGGCTACGGCTACGGCTACGGGCTCTGCCCAGGTTCTCACCCCAGCTGGAATTCTTGTTCGGGCTTCTGCTTCGACTGCAACGTGTACTTGTGTTGCTCCTATTAGCCATCATACTTTCATGGAAGCTCTTAGAATTATTGAGAACAGGTGCATCCCCATCATGCGCATCATGGGATCCGTAACCATATCTATAGTCACATACACACAAAAGTGAGTAGCGATTCTAATAACCTAAAAATATGAAGGAAAAAAAAATAAAAAATTTACCTATCTTGCTGGTCATGATCATAACCATAGCTACCACCCCTTCCCCCATCTCTTCCACCATAGCCAGAGTCACAGCGTCCACCACGACCTCCATCCCGACCACTAGAACCTGAACCCCACTGGCGTCTTGTTCCCCCAAAACCACCACCACGTGAAGCCATGTCACGAATTTCAACAGGGACCTGTTGATTTGCTACTTCCAAAATTTTGACAAGATCCAATGCATGCTTTGCATCCTGGTCAGAGAAGAAAGTATAAGCCAAACCTGTGGCACCTGCACGTCCGGTTCTTCCAATTCTATGAACATAGTCTTCTATTCCCGTAGGAAAGTCATAATTTATCACCACCCTGTGAAAAGAGAAGAACACAAGACCAATCACACAACAACTCTTTAGAGTGCTACAAATCACACACCAGATTGTCCACTATTTCAACAGAATTACATAAGCTCAATAACAATGAGGACACAGAGACTGTAAAAGCTTTTACACTATGAATGGGAAGAAAGTAGATTCACTTTATGAAGGGAGATGCAAATTGAGACTAACCTCACCCAATTATAGGAAAAAAAACAGCTGATAAATATAGATGTGCACTCACAAATACACCACATAGGTAAAAGTAAAACTCATAACAAGGTGAAAACACAACCATATATGAGATTATTTAGTTCCTCCCAAATGAGAAATGATTCATAATTATCTAAAAATTTAAGTTTTTAACTAAAGATATGGGTATACTTCACAATATTCACAAAACCAATTTGTTACCCCCACCAACCTGATGTCTTTAATGTCCAGGCCACGGGCTGCAACATCAGTAGCTACAAGCACTGGGGTCCTTCCTGTGCGAAATTGACTCAAAACATGATCCCTCTCACTCTGAGATTTGTCTCCATGAATAGCATCGGCTCCAAATTGATGATTTAGGTTGCCTGCAAGTTGATCGCACATTCTCTTTGTAGAACAGAAAATTATTATCTTTGATCCAGGTTCTTGAGATCTCAATATCTGTTCCAGCCGCCTACGCTTCTCCATTGGTGACAAAACTTCAACATTCTTTGCATATATAACAAACTCTTAGAGTCAAAAATTCAATGTGAAAACAGGGATGCAATAACAAGATGTATGAAAATTGATTCCTTTTTTTCCTGTAATAGGTAATAAAGTAGATAAAGGAGACAGGAAATTATAAAAGATGCACCTGTGTTATGGCCTTGTTTGCAACAAGCTCATCAACATTTCCAATGTTAACCTGAACAGGACGGACTAGAAGATCAGAAGCAATTTTGCGCACCTCCTTAGGCCATGTTGCTGTGTACATAAGGGTTTGCCTACGAGTAGGTACATTCTTCACAATCTTCCTTATCTGGGGTTCAAACCCCATGTCCAGCATCCGGTCTGCCTCATCTAATACCAAGTATGAAATTTGATGGAGGCTAATTCTTCCCATCTCCAAAATATCATTCAACCGACCGGGAGTAGCTATGACAACATCTATAAGACCTCTGTCTAGCTCTTTCAACTGTGGACCTTTTGGTGCACCTCCATACAAACACTTCATTACACAACACCAAAACTAAAATCAGCACCAAATTCAGATAACATTGGCAAAAGGAACACAAGCAGATATAGGCCAATTTTATTATTATTATTATTATTATTATTATTATTATTATTATTATTATTATTATTATTATTTTGGGGAGGAGGTTCTATTCTTTGGCGATTTTGGATTAGTAAAGATTTATCAAATAGGCCAAGTAGGAAAACAAAATTAAACTGTTCTTCGGCCTTGTGAACCCAAGAACACTGGAACTTACAAAAGGAGAAAAGAGAAAGAAGAATATGCAGCCCACCTAAACTCCCATAGGCATCCCACCTAAGGTTTGAACTGCATCAAGAGTACTCAAAGCAAAGCATTATTAATGGAAATTTCTAAAAATTATACCTCTCATCAATAATTGGAAGCATTAGATTATATATTGACTTTTCTAAATTTTTATTTGAAAACTACATCAGTTACCTACAAAACTAGCAAAAAATAAATAAATAAATAAAATAAAAAACATGTATTTACCAAAGTAAAATAGATCCTATTCAGAAATTCAGTAGTGCATAATAGTAGCTAGTGGGTATTGACCCAAATGAAAAATTTCGCCAGAAATGATTATATCTTGATATTTATGGAAAGAATGGGCATGACACTATGATGTTCCAGCATGATATAAATTTGAGAACTACATGGCAAGCATGCATGAGTATATATAACCTTTAATTGCTAAGCATGTAGCTCACATAATTCATGCATTGTGTGTCTATTTTGTAGGTCAGAGCAGAGCCTTCAACAAAATCTCAGATGGTGGTGTACATGAATGACGTGTGGGAGATATCAACCAAATGAGATTTTATTTTGTAGGGCAAGCGTTGGAAGGTTCTTCTATTCTTTAGTGATTTAGGATCATTTAACACAACTCTGGAAAGGCCCCAAAAAAATGGAAAAAAAAAAAAAAAAAAAAAAAAAAGGAACTTGGAGTTGTTGTAGAATGGATTCGGACACTATGGATTCAATTAACTTCTTTCACTTTTGAGCCATACAACATCTAAAAAACATTATTTATTCCATCAGAATATGATCAGACCAACATATCCAAGATAATTTGCAAACCAAGAAAAACAAAGAAATAGTATTACAACTCCAAAACTGCAAGGTTACAGAAGTAGACACAAATAGAAGCATCTTTGTTATTATAACAATATACATTAAATCCAAACAATTATTAAATCCATACCGTGCAAGATATCTTCGACGATTTTCCAAACTTCACAGCTTCATCTTGTATCTGAGTTGCCAATTCCCTGGTTGGCGACAATACCAGAACTGTTGGACCTAATTTAGGATTATTACGCCGTTGCTTTAGATGAATAAAACCAGGAATCAAATAACCCAGAGTTTTCCCAGAGCCTGTCTTGGCTATGGCTACTATATCGCGACCTTGCAGAGCAATTGGCCAAGATTGTGCCTGTATTGGAGTAGGGGCAGAAAATCCAGCTTGATATACCTGGAAAACAAAAAAATAAAGAAAGCCGCAACGCCTGTAAGTTGAGGTACTCTCTTCAAGATTTGTGATTGGTTTCATTTGGGCCTATGGGAGTGGCCAATGCAAGAACAAGTATCATCCCCCACTGTAAACACTAAAAAGCCACTGCTTGCTGGTGCAAGCTAGTAGAAGGACGTTTCTTTTTCTGTTCAGAGCAAGAGGCAGGGTGAAACAACTACCAACAAAGTCCCAGTCACAAATTTGTATGATTCAGACAGCCCTTCACAAAATTGGTCACTAAATAAGGGCACTCCAAATGCATCGAGCCCCCATTTGATGGCGGCACAGTGTACGACATTTGGCTCCTCCCTGGAGCAAATATCGCACCTGAGACAAAACATTGGGATAAAAAAAAAAAAAAAAAAAAAAAAAAAAAAAAAAAAAAAAAAAAAAATTGGGAAAAAAAAAAAAAAAAAAGAAAGAAAGAAAGAAAGAAAAGAAATTGAGTATGAAGACATCCAGCAGTAAATCAATGTTGCAAAAAATTTAATTCATCCACAGTTCAGACTTACAAAGGCTTCTAGCCGTCAAAGAAAAGAACTGCAAATATACAAATTATGCAGATACCTCCTTTAGAATCTCCGTGGGCAAACCAGTGGCTTCAAATGAGATAAAGGGTTGGGGAACATTATCTCCCTAGACAAAGTACAGATGAGCAGTTATCATTTATGTAAATATGATTGAAGTAACAAATAAAGAATGAGTAGGTATAGAAAAAAAAGAGTATATATGCAGAATCCAAAATGGAAGTTTGGGGGAAGGAGTGATCATAACCAAGTATTGACATCAAAATAACTACAACACAAACTTTAATTGGTATTAAACTATCTATCACTTTTCAACACTTCAAATTGAATCATAGTTAATAAGCAGTAGAAAAATCAAGCATGCAAGACCATGGATAACATTTATAAACAGCCAAGGGTGAACACACACACACACACACACACACACACACAAAAGAAAATTTACACTGCTCATTACTTAAAATTCTAAATGTTTTAGTAGAATCCTTTGCGAGTAATAAAAAATGTTGGCAATAGGATGGACAAGCTCGTGCTGAGGGAAGTCATCCAAGGCTCAGGTTGATTATATAAACTGAAAAGAAAAATGATCTTCCAGTGGAAGCAGGCTCTTCAAATAAGACAAAAATCAATGAATCAGAAATATACCTGGAATAATAAATACACAGATGATATAGATGCTTACGATTACGGATATTTCATGCTGACGACAATACACCTCAGGAGACAAACCACTTGGTGCACCTTTGGAAGCAGATGATCCATGTTCAGTAACCATTTTTACATTTCGATCATCATGTGAACCATCCAATCTGCTAATATTTGTCTAGGTCAAATGAAGAAAAAATTGCTGTGTTAATGAAAAAGAACAAACACCAAAACTGACTCATAGAGAAACAGTAACTTCATGAGCCAAAAAAAAAAATGCAGCCCGTTGGTAGTTATTCACCTGGTCACCTAAATAAGTACATATTCAATTTAGACCATGGGCCTGTTCGGTAGTGACTTTAAAAATTGATTTTTTGACCGTTAGTTGAAAAGCGGAGGCTACCTGTGAGAGAAGATGTCAAAAATTACGACTGTAATAGTGAAATAACGGTTAAAAAATTAATTTTTTTTGGTGAAAAATCACTCCCAAACAAGGCCATTACCCATATGAAGTCACATACATATATTCTTGGTTGTTTAGTTGACACGTTGCATATTAACGTAGATAACAATAATTGTCACTCCAACTAAATTATATTGCCAAATATATGTTGCAATAGACAGCAAATCAAAATCAAGCAATAATTTTGAAATTAATAGATGTACACAGAGAGAGAGAGAGAGAGAGAGAGGCTAGAGCGATCGTGAAACAGAGATTCTAATAGTATCGACAAATATTTGTTATACAATAGTCGGCTCAATATGCTAGTCAGCAAATGATAAAAAGTAGACCCAACATAGAAATGTATAATAGGTTAGTGAAGCAAGACAATAAATCGTGGATGTCATTTCTACTTAAGATAAGATGGGTCCAGATATGTTTCCAGTAATTTTATTACAAGTGACATTGGAAGCAAAGAACTTATGAGAGAGCCATTTAAACACCTGATAACTTCCTGCTCCAGAAGCAAGCTTCATTGATCCACCATTGTCACTGCTGCTATAATGATCACCATCATTGTCACTATGACATCCGGGAGAGGACTTTTGAACCGATAAACTCAAAGAGTTGTAAGGTGGACCGGAGCTTGCTTGCAATGAGGCAGCGGGCCTTTCATATTGGGTAACATTGGTCTCTGGATTCCAGAAATAAAGATATCCAGTCTTTCCATCAACCAAGGCTCTCCAAGGTTTTGGGAGGCTGGGGTCATCTGGTGCATAACGTACACCAGTAGAAGAGGCAGTTGCAGTAGCCGCCATATAAATGCTTTTCTCTAGATATCCTTAGTAATAAAAGACAAACTAACAGTACCAAATATATATCATAAAAGCTGGCACACGAATCGTCTAAAGCACAGAAACATAAATCATTAATCATAAGTCAGTTGGCCAGTAATGCTAATTAGATATTACAGGCAAGATATTTACCCCCAAAAATTGAATAGGATAGAAAATTCATTACTTGAAATTGAGTGAGTTTAATAACACAGCACTAGAAAACGCAATGAAATCATTTGCTGTACAGTATAATAGGAAAAAAAAATCCAAATTATTACAATGTGGCTGAAAATTTTGAAAATGCAAGTGCCACAGACACGTGATTTGGCATAAACCATTATCATGAAACTAATTTTGAAAAATCATCATGGCATTGAAAAAGCTAAACACCTTTAAATGATGGATATAAAAATTGATTTAGTATTTATAAAAGGACAAATGTGGAGAAACGCATGCTTGCTTGCAAGATATAAGCAATCACAAATTCCAGATTAGAACAGCATTCGTCGAAAAAATTAAAATTCTTTTGGATAAGTACATTTCAACTCAAAATTATGCAAAAAAAATTACAAACATAGATAAAATTAGAATTTAAATGGGGTTTAGAAAAGGCATAAAAATTTTGCATACACGATTGACCAAAAATAAAAATAAAAAAATCCTAATTTTAAAACCTTATATTGTTTTGCAGCGACTCATAAATAAAACATCACATTCACATCTGGAAAAAAATAAAAATGGAAAAACATAAAAACCATCAAAATGAAAAACAGACAGAGAACGATCAATACCTTACGACGTCGGTTTGAGAACTCAAAGGAAAGTACACAAATGCTCCACTCCCCACTGAACTTCTCTCTCTATAAATAACTATGCACCTGTATCGGTGTATGTACATGCAGAGGAAGTGTGTGTATCAGAGCGCATGTAGAGAGAGAGTGAGAGAGAGAGCGCCACGCTTCGTTAAACGAGAAGAACATAGAAAATGGAGAGAGCATAGCTGGAGATATTATTTACAGCACCCAAACAAAATAGGGAGGCCCTCGAATTAATTGACCTGTCTAATGGCAATTATGGTTTTGGTACTGACTAATGAAAACTTTGAAACTGATGGCTTAAACTATAGTGATTTTTTTTTTTAAAATATGTAATTAAAAATTAGAAAAAAAACAATTATAAGTTTGAAGAAAATATGGCTCAAACAGGGATTGAATTTCTCTAGTAAAAATAATAGAAAATTATATAACTACAAAGGTTTGATTATACTTTTCAAAGTTAATAAACTTGTGGATTTCTTTCAAAAATCAGGTGGTCATATTTTATGACCTCTGTTAAAATTTGTGGCTCAATAATTTAATTAGTGAATATAACACACAATTTAATATTATAGTCACGTAATATTCACAAAAAACATAAAGCCGTGGTCACAAAATATTATTTGTAGATCACAATTACGTATTTAGTTACAAATTACACAAAGTCAAGTTTACAAATTATCCAAAATCATGGTCATAAAGACACAATTTGTAGGTCATAATCTCGTATTTTAGTCATAAATCACACATTTAAAAGTAACATATTACTTACTAGTCACAAATTATCTAGCTCTTATTTGGTACAAATTAAAATTCGGATTTTAATTTAAGTAAAGTCAATAATTAATTTCAACCACACATTTCATCAAATTTTATCAAAATCAACTAAAAATCTGATTTTCATCAAAATCTGACACTATTCTCACACCTCCACACCACCACCATACCATCATCGGCAGCCACTAGCTTTCTTCTCACCCAATTTCACAACACCCACCACCTCTAGAAACCATAGAAGACGGATAGAAAAATGGCCACCGTTGCATATCCCAACTACCTAAAAATTCACCACCACTTCACTACTAAAAATTGTTGTAATATTGTTGTTTAAAATCAAAAGGGATGAATTGAGAAAGACGTGGGTGAAGAGGAAATTAAGGCCATGAAAATAGCCTATGCGACCACATATGCCATTTAGGCATGTGGTCGCATAGGCCCATGCAGAGAAATCAATGGAGGCAGAGGTTATAACCATGCAACCGCATAGTTATAAGCCTATGCGGTCGCATGGTATAAACAAGATGACCGTTGTGGCTATTTTTGGTTTGAAATTGGTGGCCTTTTATCCCATTTTGGCACTACGTCATGTGAATTGATCAAGGCCTATGAATATGTGATCAAAGTTCAAGGAAATAACATGATAGTTACATGATGAATTCATTCCATTATTCTTCCAAAACCATAGAAGAAATTATCACATATTTCAAACTTCATTTTTTGCAAGATTACTTTGAATATCATCTTTTTGCTTTTGGTGTTTTTCTTTAGGCTCGATCAATTCTACAAAATATTTGCCATTTTCAATCCTCAAAAGCAAATCAGGAGGCAAATATTGATTGAGGACAGCGATAAATTCTTCGTGTGTAAGCCTTTACCAGATTTCGCTATCATCACCCTCTTCATTTTTTGTTCTCCATTGCTATATTATATTCTTATAACAATCTCAAATGATAGTCGTTATCTTACTACAATGGAGCCGGAATCTACGCTCGCTACTATCAAGATGATGAATCAAGATTTAGTGCGTTTGGACAGATTTGATGGTGCAAACTTTATAAGATGGCAAGACAAACTTAAATTCCTTTTGACGGTATTTAAGATCTTCTATGTACTTGACCCAAAATTAGAGCCAATTCTCGATGCAACAGAAAAAGAGATCGATGAGATTCGTGCCAAAGGAAAGAAACGGCATGTTACGGTCACATCCTAAATGCGCTATCGGATCGACTATATGATCTCTACACTAACACCACATCTACAAAGAAAATTTGGTACATGCTAGAAAATAAATATGAGATCGAGGAGGAGGTACTAAAATCTTTTTAATTTCCAAATATTTTGATTTCATGTTTCTGGACAACATTCCTTTGTTATCTTAGTACATGAATTACAAATAATTGTAAACAAATTGAAAGCAGTGAAGATCGAACTTTCCGAAACCTTTCAAGTGGGAGCAATTATTGCTAAACTCTCGGGATCTGAGAAAGGGTATAGGAAGAAGATTCTTCAAAATTTCATAGACTTCTCTTTGAAAGACATCCAAAAATATCTTCAAAAGGAAGAAGAATTAAGGGCAAGAGATAAGACTGAAAGTTCTTATAAAAGCTCTTCGAAAACCAGTGTCGTGGACAATGTGATGTAGGAGGTTTCGAATCAAGTGAAGTCGAGATGTCAAATAACACGTTGATGGCATTGAGATATCATGAGATGGTGGATCAGCGAAAAGATGGAAAATAATAGCAATACCTTCCTTAATTAGAGCAATTTTGACACCTCTTTGCTAATTTGGCCATAATTTTGGCTACGGTTATTAGAATCGCAACTATGACCCCCAATCCGAAAAGATCTTTTTGGTGCGTACGTCGTGGTCACCGAGCTACCGGTGGGCATAAATTTCGAGGCCAAAATTCGCTGTTTTCCTCTTCGAATTTCAGTTTCTAGTCATTTTTTTCATTTATGGTAATATTTCCTTTGCCCTTTTCAAGTTGATTACGAATTCAATTTGAGCCAAATTTTGTGCAAGTTACTTCTTTTGTTCAATATTTTATTTTGGTGTGATTTTTAGGATTTTGCCATTTTTAGTAAAATATCCATTGAAACTTACTTTTACTTAGGACATACAAGTAAACCTTTTAGGCTTTGTCAAATATGCTTTAATTTTGTTCAGTTGAGTAAGCCGTTAGTTTATTAATATGAACATAGCTAATAAGATTAAAGAGATTTGATGACAATAAATATCTAATTTACAAATTCCTCTCACCTACCCAAGAATTTCACCTCCTAAATCCACTGATTTAGATGTTCAAATTGGAGCAAGAGGAGAAATGACTATTTGAGAGTGAAATATTTGAATTTGTATACCGTTATTCTCTTAAGCGAGAGTGTTTATAGATTTTCTATGAGAACTAGGGCAATTGAGTCATTTAAAGAGAATAAAATGTTGCGGCCTCTTATAAGCTAGTTTGTAATTGATTTTGTTTTTAGTGAAACGTTTTATTCATTAGTTTACGTGCCATATGCTCATTGACTTAGAAATTATGCTTTAAATGTTTGTTTATGAGTGCCTTAATAACGATTTTTTGGCCAACTTGGAAGAGAAATGGCTCGCCTTCCATTTTGTGTGGGCCCTTTTATCCTTTGCATATCACTTACGCTTGGCAAACTGTGGATGGGCTTGCAGAATGGAATTTTAGATTCAACAAATAATCTCTGAAGTTTGATTTTAGTATTCATATTAAAACTAGGGATTGTTGTATTTTTATTAATTTGCGAGTCTATAGGTGTCATTATTTGGACATATTGCTCTTTATCTATTGCAGTTGATATGGGCAATATTGAAGGGACATACTATGATTGTAGCAGTTTTTTGTGCACTATAGGTTTGTGTACATGTTTCTAGGTTAATGCCCTATGCGCATTTTGATTACGCATAATGTTACTCCTTCATTTTGAAACTTAGCCAGGCTCTTGTTAATATTCAGTGGTTGTGATCATAGGGAATAGCTTGAACGGTCGAGGTTACTATTGTTACAATTCGATGATTTGTGCCGTTCATCAGAACCTATAAATACGCCTATTTCTTTTTCAGTTTTTCACTTTTACCTTTTTCTACGTTTATCTTTTGCCTATGGTTCTGTACTTGTTTCTCGGTGATTTTTTCTATTACGTCCTTCCATCTTCTTTCGTAAATTTTAGTTAGGTGAATATCCTTTTTTATCTTACCTTCTGCATTTTTATTACGATGTATTTCTGAAGTGACTCCAAAAATATATCTCATGATTTTGAGGTCAAAAAGATCTAAGCTTAGGGATACCTTTTCCAATATCTCTTCTTCTTCTGAGGAAGTTCAGTACACTAAGGCATTGCCTCATTTTGTAACTATTCCATCTAGTTTCAGGACTAACATAAAACTTCTAAAGTCTAAGGATATTTCTCAACCTAGGGCTAAAAAACGTGAGCATGTTGGATAAATTTAATACTTTAAATCACCGGATCTTTCATGTTAAATCATCAAGAAATACAAGAATTAAAGTGGAAGCGTACCTGAATCAGACATGGTTAATGCAATAATGAATTTCGAGGTATAGTCTTCCAAATCTACACGCAGTCTCTTTTTCCTCTCTGTGATGGGATGCAGTAGAGAATGAATAATACGTGCGTGTGATCTGGGGACCATAACCTATTTATATAGGGACGCCCTTTAACCCAATTCTACCCATCATAGAATTAGGATTTGGGTCCGGTCTCTACACATATGTAAACACATACTTTAATTGGATACATTAAAGCCCAAAATCGAAGCCTTATTAGATCACTTTAATTGGGCTCAACCGAATTCGATAGCCTATAATTTAACACATAATTATTCACACATACAAGCTCATCTATTGATTAAAAATCCTTACAATCTCCCATTTGGGCTATATGTGTCACTTTATAATTGTGCATTAAACATAATCTTATGAGTACTCAGAATTTTGCTATCATTACCGAATGTATCCCCAAACAATCCCGTACATCAATCATATCAACATAGGATCAAAGCGGCTTTCGCTACTTTCACGTAGCTAAACTCATCAATGGTCACATATATCAATATAACCGAATGATATAGATCAAGCATGGATGTGTAGCATGGAAATTACATGTAATGTGATCTGTAACATTCCTATTTCCAACTGGTCCACCTTAATACCTTAGTGAGATCATTTTAAACAAGTTCAGAGATAATTAACCAAATAACTTTATAACTGAAAATAATTTTAACTTTAAACCGTATTTAAAACAACAGTGCATGTGTCCAATATGAAAAGCAAAATTACAAACTCCCACTGAAACTACATATCCTCAAGAAACATTATACCCATATGAGCAGTGTGCTCATGAAAGACCTTGGGTATCAATCCCTTAGTAAGCGGATCCACAACCATGGAGTTTGTCCCAATATGCTCTATT